CACCCCATTTGATTTTATTATGGAAAAACGAAGTTTTAAAGCAAAAACCAGGATAAAACACAAATATCCACCTACAGCAACCCATTTGAATCAAATATATTGGCAAAAATTGTGGTGAAGGTAAACTTCACACCGTCTTATACAGGGCACGCAGAACATAAACTTATCGTGAGATTGATCGAAAGAAAATTGTGGAAAATGTATTTTATTTTGATTGACATGCCGTTTGTTACAATTACCTATATTTATCTTGGAGAATTCCTATTACCTGAAAAAATAACCAGTGAGTGTTTTCAATTTTCTGTTGTTGGATTTTTCACCCAAGTGGATCGTTACACTTGAAACCGTAATTTTTTAGGGTAAAACTGCATTTATCATGCGATGGATTTTTTTTTGAATTTTTTTTTCGGTACTCACGTATTTTTGTCTGATGAACCGAATTTTATAATGAAAATGTGAACAAACCACTATTTATTGAGATATTTCAAGAAAAAAATCGGAATTTCGCCTTCTTTCTCCCCTTGTGTTGGGGGCATTTTAAGCTACTTGCTCTTATTTTGTCATTGGACACTTTATATACTCATGAGGTACTTCGATGGCACATTTCAATATAGAAAATTCAACAGGACATATGATCTTCATGGCGAGTTTTTCATATTAAGTGAACAAGCATTCCAGATGACGACCATTTAATCAATAGTCAATCAAAATACGAGATGTCAAATGTCAATAGATTGCTTCCGAATGGCATTACACACGCCATTATTTTGAATGATATTCTTCCTTCTTTTTACTAAATATGGATTAATCTCAAGAATATCATATTTATAGTTGAATTATATATGAATTTTCCAATATGATGAAAAAAGAAGAGAAATTTGTTCTAAATACCATCCAGAAGACAGGTGAAAAAGAAGGTGAAATTTGGAACTTTTCAGTCAAATATCTTCATGATGAATATCATGATAAATGCAGTTTCACCTTATTAAGTAGAGTGTTTGTAGTTCATGTTAATATGATAGTTGCAATTTGATCATTGGAATGAATTCTGCATTCATTGCCACGAGGCAAATGACCGTTTCCAGAAAAAAAATTGAGAATGAGAATTAAAAATGCCCGTGTATTATGAACATTCAAGAAAATTTCTTCGAATTCAGAGATGATTTTGTTGACTATAATATACGAACACAAAACTAACTGCACAATCAAAGCTTACCTATTTTTCCTCCTCTACTTATACTTTTTATGAGAGAGTAATTGTCTTCTATTATTAATTCATCATTATAAATTGAGCTCTGTTTACTACTGAACTTAGATGGAGTAAAATCCTCGCGGTGAATTGCATATACCCACATTTTCGAAAGCTCCTCGTCCAATGGGAAACTAAAAGCATGAACTTTTGAACCACCCACATAATTCCCCCGACAAAAAGGAACACTTGAAAGGCATTGTTATTTTGCCGATCACAACAGAAAATATTTCACAAAACAGTAATTTTTCCGCCAATTATTTTGATGAATACACAACAAAAGAATTCGGGACCGTTTCAAAAACATACGTGAATCACCGATGAATTAACACGAACTGACGCGTTGTTCGACAAGCGATGAAATAAAACACTGGCCTCTCTTGGTGACGTCACGAGCTGTTCACGTCAGAGTCTGCTGGCCTTGTTGTATCGGTGGTAACGGAGCGATTCCTCTCATTCCGAATGTGTACAGTTTTTCGACAAGAATTTCATGACTTATCGCAGTCGAATGCGCTGCTCGGGTCTATTAAAATTCCTACAGGCAGGCTATCAGCTGAAGCAATCAAATAATTGCTCTTATCTGTTACAGAAGTAGGGAAATGATATTGAATAACTCGCAAGTAATGCTAACTTCTCACTTGTATGATTTGCAAAGTCCATTCTCTTGAATATCATTTCGTGGTCGTTGAATAATATAAGTACTATATTTCATATCACATTCAGTATCTTGGACACTATTCATGTGATTGTCAGACGTGAAAGCAATGAAATATTATTTTTCTGCAACCGAAACAAAAGTCGTCCATTCTAATATCAAAATTAGCTTTTGAATTGACGTTTCAATTACTGACAAAAAAATAGGTATGTTGCTAGTCAACACATTCAGTTCCTAGGAGCTAGAGTTGAACTTTAGCTCCTAGGAACTAAAAAGGATTCACAAGATGATGAAAAAACATCATTGTTACGGTTGGATATTTGACTTGGGACGCATACCTGATTTGATTCCGATTTCGGCAGATTTGGCATTCCATACCCATGCTGGAGATTTAAATACACCTTATTATAGTTGAGTATTTTTGTTTTGATTGGGAAAGCCTTCAAGATTCACATACCTACTTGCTTGATCTGAATTCCATTCGTAATTCTCAGGATGGATAACTTGTTTTCGAATAATCACGACCAGCAATAGTCTTTCGTCTCAAGCAACGATATTGTTTACCTCTATTTGATTATCAAGTCAAACACAGTGGCGTATGGAGAAAAATAAATAATCTATATTATTATTGTTGATATGCTCACTGACCTAACATTTTCCACGTCTTGTTCCTATTTATACCTGGCACTGGCGCGGAATTCGCCATTAGAGCACCTGGTCCATACACAAATATGTCACTCTGTAGTTGTATCAATATTGAAACTACAATTCGAACATACATGAAAATTGAATGAACCTGTTGTTAATGTAGGTAGAATATTCTCACCACACGGATTATTTGTTGCATTGCATACATATAATAATATGGCACGGCATTGGTGGTTACTTCATATATTTGTTTGAGTTAATGGTTTCGGTTGCAGAAAAAATAGCCTGTTCCATTCAAATCAAAAGTGACTTTGTTTGACTCGCAAATTTTTGCTTTCGCTCGGCTTCGCTAAACGCTACGCCTCGCAAATACAAAATTCGCTTGTCAAACAAAGTGTCCCTTTTGGTCCTAATAAAACAATCTACTATTTGATTGTGTTGAAGTTTATAGTGCTACCGTACCTGCAGGTAGAGGAAAATTGCTCAATCAACCGCATCCTGAAATATTACCCTTAGTTCCATTTAACTAGTACTGAAGGTATAAATCCAATAACTAATATGACTATATTTTCTTAAGAAAGGGCAAAGAAGAGGAATCTAAGAAATATTCGTGAGTCAATCTCACTATGGATCCCTTTTCGTATGGGAACCAGAACATACAAAAAATATGGTCAAAAATGTATCAACAAAATATACCGTCCATCTTGAATTTCATCTGGAACTATTACCGATCAGTTTCATTTATCATTCGTTTATGTCATTCGTGGCCTTGAAAGTAGGATGCAAGAGGATTTTCAATTATCAATGATGATGGTGGAATTATGAATGATTCTATGCCTGTTCTAGACAAGATCCCCATACCTTTACTAATATAAATTATTCTTGTGAAAATACTTTAGATCATGCATCATATAATTCAATTCGATATCTCTTACTCATTAAATATGCTCAATTCTCATTTAATTTCCATGTTCCTACTGGGTGCAACCTTAATAAAACATTTTATCTTGCCACTGCTTACATTTGCATCAAAAAGGAAAACGGGATATAAAATATATAACACCAGAAAATATAGCTGCTTTGCACGCAACAATGTATAATAATGATATGATTATCAACATCAAACCAGAGTTGTAGTTGGGAAACACAGACCGACTGCTGTAGAGCTGACATTTGACATTTTTTATGACCGCATATCGGTGACGATCGATCTTCTTATAAGTCGTAAAATGTTCGTATCAGATTGATCTCTTGTTTGGAAAACTATCAAAGTTTCTCCAACAATCTTCATAAATTCCCCATGAAGAAAATTCAATCTTTATTATTGTTGTTGAATCAACCCAGATGATATATGCTTTTGTTTTATTTTGTTTTGTGGAGGAGTATTATCGAATTTTATACCACATGTTAATTTCCAGACGATTTTGAAATGAATAACCATTTCTTATTTTTCATGTGAAGTATTTCATCAATTTGTAGATGACTAACTAAATCTTCTGAGAATGCTCAAAGCAACAGTTATACCTACGACGATTTTGAGTTGACCAATCAATGGACAGTATTTTCAGCAATACAACAATATCATGATTTATTATGTCCCAAGATATCTCTCTTGTTTCGAAAACACAGAGCAGAACTTATGAATATATGATTCAACAGATTATGATCTTGCTTCGAATAGATTCGGAACATATGAATGAGTAAAATGAATGGATATCGCTACTAAATATGGGAACATAACTCAAACTCAAATGTTTATACAGGGTGATTCATTGAAAAATGCGCATAGAGTGAGGGTAGATGGAGGACATCGAGGTGCTTATGAATAATCTATATTTCATGGGTCTATCATTCTTCATTACCAAGATACATGGTGATCGATTTCCCCAATTTTTTCAATTGATCATATTCCATGAACCACCCTAAACATGCATTGTTTTATTTCGTTTGCTTGTTCTTCGTCCGGCCTTGAACAAATTAATGAGTATGTTTCAAGTCGAAACAACACCCTGTGTATCAATATTTTGATATCTCATTAGGAAATTTGGAAGATGCAGACAAAAGTAGGTGAGACTAAATGTATTTGGTGTTCCCGCATTCAAATTTTTTACCTGATAACTTTACTCGCAATAAAATAATAATCAATGATACATTCTAAATTTCCCGGCCAAATATGAATATTTGACAATAGCCTCACTAGAATTTTACTTTGATGAAGATACCGTTAATTCTGAACTTTTTGAATTTTGACAATTGACTCATGACATGAATTTTGATCCTTACATAATTCTGCTAGACAGAGGTGTCCATGTTTCTGTTCTGATTGTCAGCCATGTTGTTATAAAGATCGTAGCAGAAATGATTTGCTAGCTTTCTCGACAAAATTCAAGTATAATGTGAAATTTTTTTATTAATCTTCAGAAGTATTGATGTTCTCATGTTGTGACTGTTTTTTTACACATGTATCATTCCCCACTCAACGGAAGCCAGCTTCAACGAAACCTCAATTCCCGTAAGTGTTCAGTAATCGATAATAACGATTGAATTGTCATTTATCAATATAAAGACTCGAGAGCTCGAACAAAAACAATAGTACAATTTGTTTTTTTCTGACTGACTGCATACCCAAAGGAATTTTACAGTTTTATTCCTATCTGAATATTTATATCCAAGTACACCCCTACGTTGAGAGTGATTACTTGCTATACAGGGTGTAAGTGAAGAAGTGCGACAAACTCCATGGAGTGATTACTTGATATTTTAGGAAATATATTGCATACAAACATGTATTTTAACTTGCTTCGATTTTCATATACAGGATGTTGAAGTTTGAAGTATCTATTGTTTTTATTTGAAGTGTAAGCTTTGGAGGTGCCAAAATTCCCAGAATTTCAAAATGATTCTCATTTGAGGTTATTGAGATACAGAAGAAACACACTGGCGTACAATGATATTAACCGTAAATATCGATGAATTAAGCCACTGTGACGCCACGTTCCATGCGACAAAACCATCAAGTCTCATTCAAATTGGTAAGAAGACAATTGAGTAATGATTAAAATAACGATTCTTTATGGAAATATTAATACCCTGTATCTCTAAAACGAAGCTAGTCATGACACATGTTTGTATAAACTCTATTTTCTAAAATATCACAAGGAATCAGTCATGAAAGTTTGTCGCACTTATTCACTAACATCCTGTATATGTAGTTATGCTCTTTTATAATAACGTTTCCAATGATGTCGACTCTGATCATTGAAAAGAATGGTATTTCCGATAATTTCTATTGATAAATCATTTGATCAAGTACTATTTATATATGAAAAGATCGATATAAAATAAGAACTTGTCGTAAATTCGACTTATGCAAGATTTCATGAACATTTTTCATGATTTTGAATTTCTCTTATCGTTAACAAAAAAGTTGTCTAAGCAGAGAATTCAGTTCAAATGTTCATGTATTGTCGTTTTGGGAAAGAAGTAGATTTTTCTCAGCAAATTACAAAATATAAGATATATTTCGCAATACCTCGGTGTGAGTGCATCCATAAACAGACACGCAGTATAACATATTGAATCAATATTGAATTTGAATATTTTTTTCAAGACGATATAAAAACCAAAAATAAATACATTGATTAATTACTTGAAATTTCAATTGAATATCTCCTTCGATTCGAGCATATTCAACTGAGTCGAATAATCTCTTATATTTGAGAATACAGTGTCATATTATTGAACTACATACTCATACCCAGAATGCAGATATTCATTCAAATAACTATTCAATTCAACTAGATCATAATTCCGAAATCATGCAAGGATAAGCAATCCTGTCGTCAAGAGTTCATATAACTGTTATTAACAATACTCATTATGACAGGCCCGACAGGCGAAACGGAATCAGAGTCGTTCCAGAAACATGTGAAGATATTTTCTCCATATGATATCTATATTACTCATCTTCAAACATCGTTCAGAACGAGGTGTCATCGACACTCGATTGAATGTTTCTAATAGGCATCCTCATGATGGAATTATTGAATGCTCGGACATTTTGGGACCAATCACCTGATTATCCCTACTCCACGTTAATTTGAATGAGACTTATATTTTGATTCCCAAAAACGAGGAGGGAATCATGATGAAACTGAAAAAATGAATGTTTTACCCCCACAATTAACCTACACACAGTGTCACAACATAATTACATATTCCTCCACGCCATATCATGGGAGACTCGGGTTTTTTCAGGCATACCTACTCTGGTTTTTCTAGTAGTGAGTTAGGCAATCCAAACCACATGACCCAATATGGCGGCTGTTGGCACACAAACAAGGTAGCGTCATAAGGTTAGCATTGTTAATGTGGACATTGGATGGTTTTGTACCTTTTTTTCTTTCTCCGAAGCTTTTTGGGCTGTGTGGAAACTTTATTGAGATGAAGGAAGATTATCTGAAGACATTTTTGTTAAGAGACAGAGACGTTACTTTGTATTTATTTGTTGTTCATTCATTCACGTTTTCATTGGAATGTAATAGTTAATTACAAATGTTCCTACTAAAATTGATAAAACTTGTTCTCAGATAAAACATTCGAAGAAAGCAAATGAGAAACCCTTTGAATTTGAAAAATACTTCTGAACGCAAGCATAATATACTAGAGAAGTACCACCTTTATCTGAAAGTGAATTGGTTGACATGCTGGAGAAAATATCAGAATGGGGTCACAGAGCCATTTGCCACTCAGGTATATGAAAAATAAAAAAATGTTATGGCTTTGAGTTTGGATATTTTTGATGAGGACAATATATCAAGAAGTAATTCTGAGTTGATGACTATCAAAAACAACCATTATCAATGTAAAGTTCTATCATTCCTTCATACTGTAGATGAAATTCAGTTTCATTTTGTTTGTCTAAAGATATTGAATTCGAATATCCATGATCTATTTTTGAAAATGTGATTATGAATTTGAATTTTGAATAAATAAGTAGGAATAGAAAAATGTTTTCAATATTATTTCGACATCTTCTACTGAGAAACCACTATCTTCAAGGATTGATGATTCAGTATATTCAGAGACAGGACAAATATATCTGGAATCTTCTTTCTCTCACAATAATTTCATTTTCAGAATATCTGACATTTTCAATGAAAACAATTTTTTCTGCAACCGACACAAAAGTCGTCCATTTTGATACCAAAATCAGCTCTTAAATTGACGTTTCTATTACTGACACAAAAACAGGTATGTTGCTAGGCAACATATTTAATTCCTAGGAGCTAAAGTTGAATTTTAGTTCCTAGGAGCTAAAGTTGAACTTTAGCTCCTAGGAACTTAAAAGAATCTACTGGACGTCATCAAGAATAAACAACATTGTGACGGTTGGTTATTTGGGTTGAGACGGATACCTGATTTTTTTCCGATTTCAGCAGATTTGGCATTTCATACCCATGCTGGAGATATTGATACACCTTATTATAGTTCAATATTGGAATTATAAACATCTCAGTTGAGTATTTTTGTTTTGATCAGGGGAGCCTTCAAGATTCAAATACTTGCTTGATCTGTATTTCATTCGTTATTCTCGGGATGGATAACTCGTTTTCGAACAATCACGACAAGCAATAGTTTTTTTTATCTCAAACACCGATACTGTTTAGCTCCATTTGATTATCAAGTCAAACACAGTGTAGTATGAAGAGGAATAAATATTCACTATTATCATTGTTGATATGCTCACTAACCTAACATTTTCCACGTCTTGGTCCTATAGCTGGCACTGGCGCGGTATTTGCCATTAGAGCACCTGGTCCATACACAAATATGTCACTCTGTGGTTGTATCTATATTGAAACTACAATTTGAACATCCTAGAAAACCTCACCTGCTGTTAATGCAGGTAGAATATTCTCACCACATGGATTATTTGTCAAAATTTGTTGCATTGCATACATAATATGGCACGGCATTGGTGGTTACTTCACATGTTTATTTGAGTTAATTGTTTCGGTTGCAGAAAAAATAGCATGTTTCATTCGGATCAAAAGTGACTCTCTTCGACTCGCAAATTCTGCTTTCGCTCGGATTCGCTAAACGCTCCGCCTCGCAAATGGAAAATTCGCTTGTCAAACAAAGTGTCACTTTTGATCCTAATAAAACAATCTACTATTTCACCTTGCTAATTAATTATTTTCGTGCAATACAAACATAAAATTTCAATACAGTATTCATAAATTTGACATTACATTTCAATGAAATATGTTGATGCTATTTGATAAAGGAAAGAAAAAACAGGAAACTGAAATATTATATACCTAAAGTGATAAGTACGAATGTGCAGATTTCAGCATACCAGAATTTCAACTCTCGTGAAACTAAATACAACCTCCAGCATGTTCCTTACAACTCTCCAATTCAAGCGATCCAGACCACACGCCATCTTTGGAACAGCCATCTTTTCCATGTCCCAATGAATTCGTCAAATGTAAGCTCCTTTTCTTCCGGACATACTTGTTGAACTTGTTGATCTTGTGTTCCCTCAAATGGTGCTAATCTGTTGAAATGAACGACTCTTGGTTTGCCACTGGGTTCTTTACTGATGCGGTAGATGACATCGTTGATCTTCTACTTGACGGTATAAGGTCCTTCCCGAAATCTCTGTTGTTCTGGACAAATATCTCGTTTCCTTTGTGGATTGTTCAACCACACCAGGTCTCCTTCTGCGTATCCTGCACCCCCAGCTCTAATGTCGTATCGGTCTTCCATGCGATCGCTGGTGATTTCCAGATTAGAACGAACTAATTCATGAATATCGTTCATCTTTTCCATTAGATTCGTAATGTAATCTTCCCCCACTATGTCCTCACCAGGTCTACATCCAAAGACCAAGTCACATGGAAGCCTCATCTCTTGTCCAAATTGAATCTTCGCCGGAGTCTGTCCTGTAGATTCCTGTACTGCAGATCTGTAGGCCATCAAGAAGGAAGGAAGATGTTGATCCCAGTCTTGTTGGTGTTGATCTACGACTTTGCAGAGATATCTTCCTATGAATCGGTTCATTCGCTCTACCATGCCATTTGACTGTGGATGCAATGGAGTTGGTCTTCTCTTCTTGATTCCTTACTCCTCGCTCATCATCTTAATCACTTCAATCTCGAAGTACCGGCCCTGATCAGAGTGAAGCTCCAATGGCACCCCAAAACGACTGATGAGTTGATTCATTAGGACATCGGCGACAGTTACGGCTTCCTGGTTAGGAATCGCATACGCTTCCACCCACTTGGTGAAGTAGTCCATGCAGACAAGGATGTATTTATTTCCATTATCAGTCAAAGGAATCGGCCCCGCAATATCCATGGCAACCCTCTCGAAAGGGCTCAAAATATTGTACTGTCTCATGGGTGCCCTTGATTTACGATGAGGCCCATTACTGGCAAAGCACAGTGTGCATTCGCGGCACCACTCCCTGACGTCGCCACTTCAGTTCACCCAGTCAAACCGCTC